GACATTATGTTGGCAATACAATGTAAAATTGTCAATGCCTTCAAATCTTTTATGTAAAAAAGGCTTGTGTTGCCAACATAGTTAGTAAATTTTTGACTTGGGGAATTATCTTTAAAAAAAAACACACTTTACAACGAACAAACAGCTAATAATTTTGACTATATTAACCTTTTTCCAACTCGAATAGAAGCAAATAGAAAACGAGTACCTACCCAATTCAAGTTCAGAATGTATTACAAGGGGCAGCAGAAGCGACAAAAGTGAGTCTCGCAGCAATTGCAAGTATTAAAATTCCTGATTGGTCAATACTACTTCAGAAACGCTTTTTTAAAATGCTAGTGGGAACATATCCTAAAATTCAATAGTAATTAACCACCAGTAGCTTTTTGTAGGTGATATCAACGACATAATCAATGAACATACGTTTTTTGCCACCAATATCACGTGACTTTAAAATGGTATTTGTCGGACTTTATTATAGTTGGGGAGCTGGCGTCAAAAACATGCAAGAGTTTTCGCAAGGCGGATATTTTCAAAATAGGTCGTACTTTAGTGCTAGAATGCTAGTGTACAGTCAGCACTCACAGTTCCGGGACAGCTGGCTCTGGGACGCGGGCAAAGTTGTAATTTTAAGAAGCATCTAAACTGTTTTCTCAAAGCTCAAAATTTATAGAAATTTTGCACATTATCTGTTTGAAGGTCACAGATAACGTATGTAAATCGTCAGACGTCTAGTTCGTTGCAAAAAGGGGGTCAGACGTCCTCAAAGTTTTTATTTTATGGCATTTTTTTCGGCGTCCTGTCAAAATATATTTTTGCAGGTATTTGACAAATATATTTGAAGAAAATGCCATAAAATAAAAACTTTGAGGACGTCTGACCCCCTTTTTGCAACGAACTAGACGTCTGACGATTTACATACGTTATCTATGACCTTCAAACAGATAATGTGCAAAATTTCTATAAATTTTGAGCTTTGAGAAAACAGTTTAGATGCTTCTTAAAATTACAACTTTGACCGCGTCCCAGAGCCAGCTGTCCCGGAACTGTGAGTGCTGACTGTACACTAGCATTCTAGCACTAAAGTACGACCTATTTTGAAAATATCCGCCTTGCGAAAACTCTTGCATGTTTTTGGCGCCACCTCCTGGACTATTAATGTTTGGATTAGAATCTACTCAAGTCAAATACTATAGTATATTTTTGTACTTAAGTATTTACATCTGCTAAAGAGAGTAGGATCGGTAGAACAGGAAGACAAATATGTGATTGATAGTAGTAGTAAAATACGACCATATTTTTCAAGGCATTGGTGAATTGACAAATGCATATAAAATTCAGTTGAAGAAAAAGGTAGAGCCAGTTGTAGAATCTCCAAGAAAAATTGCAATCAGCGTTCAGCAGCCAGTTGAAAGTGAGGTAGATAAAATAGAGAAAATGGGCGTTTTGAGAAAAGTGACTGAACCAACTGAGTGGTGCAGTTCTATGGTCATTTGTTTAAACCCACAAAATCTGAATAAAGCCATAGTACGTAAGTGGTATCAGCTTCCAACTTTTGAGGAAATTTCATCCAAGATGGAAGGGGCAAATATTGTTTCAATACTGGACGGCAATATATAAGGGCTTTTATCAGATTAAGTTGCATGAAGAAAGTGAAATACTTACAACATCATTTAATGCTGGGTGGTATGGGCGATATTGTTATAGGAGAATGCCTTATGGACTGTGCTCTGCACCGGAAGTTTTTCATCGTACACTCGAGAATATTTTCAAGGAGTGGAAATTTACAAAGATGATGTTATAGTCTGGGCAGCGAATGAAGAACACGCCAAAAGACTGGAAGCAGTGTTAGACAGAGTTAAACGTGGCAATGTTTCTTTCAACGACTCACGTGTAAATTCGGGTTAAGTGAAGTACGTTAATATAGATCATGGTGTTTATAAAAAATGGTTCACGTCTCGATAAAGACAAAATGTGAGTGCTATTTTGCAATTAAATAATCCAAAAAACAAAAAAAAACTACAGATTTTGCTAGGAATGGTTACCTATGTATCTAAGTTTTTGCCCAATTTGGCGGATGTTACCAGCTCGATGAGACAACTGCTTAAGAAAGATGCTTATTTGGTCTGATAAAGAAACATCTGATTTTGAAAAACTTTAAAAAATGCTTACATGTGCACCCGTACTAAAATATTATGCTGTCAGTTGATAGCAGCAGCCAAGCCTTGGGAGTTGTGCTGTTACAGAATAATTTACCTGTAGCCTAAGCCTCTCGAGCATTGACTGCTACTCAGAAGGCATGGGCTCAGATTGAAAAAGATTTATTGGCAATAGTGTACGGATGTGAGAAATTTATACTTCTTAGGACTTTTAAACTCACTGCCTTTTAATAAATTCCCATGAGTACTTGATTCCTAGCTTCCCCGGATTTGCATTTCATATAGTGACCTTTATCTTGAAAATTCTCGACATTTTATCGAATTACTTCAACTACTATTGAGCCACTATTTGAATCTTAGACAAAATTTTAGGGCCGTTATTTCAATATCATCTTGAATAAGGTTCTGCGAAGTAGGCACGCTCACTTGACGCACAAGAGTTAAATTTTACCTAATCTCACTTCAATATGTGCTTCAATCCCCAAATTATCAACCCTTGTATTTTCGGAGATATTTCGGTTTTTTTAAATCGCCTGTTTACTTCAAACCCACCAGGAACAAGAGATAAAGCACCAAAGTTCAATTACAGAAAAATGGTTAGTGTTTCGTAAGTGCTTCATTGGGCTACAATCCCCAAATTAACTGAATCAGACCTTTCCGAAGGCTAATAATCTGATCCAACCAAAAGGTTCTCTCTATTTCACTGTCATCCATTTTAATAAAACAAAGGTTTAGGTATTAATCCTAAACCTCAACACACAGTGAGGCCGCTCACACTAATGCATTAGTTCTGTTCACACAGGTTCACATCATAGAGAAAGCATCACATAAACACACAACAATGCATTTTATGGAGTTGATTTATTTCACTTCTGAAACGCAGAAGCAAAGTTTTCAGAAACCAAATGAAAATCGACTCTGTCTGCTTTGATGCGTGAAGTGCGACTTGATTCACTTATTTACGCGGATTAACTTAGAACAATACAAAATTGGACTTGATCCATTTCAATTCTGAAAACCTGATACTGATTGAAATACAGTCGATATTCAACACAATCTGGGCTCTCCATTCTACCTATTTGATTATGGAGTCTGTTTTTTCTTTTAATTTTACTTTTCAAATCCAGAGAAAACCAGCAAGGAAACTTAGCACTGCTATTGGATTTTCCTTTATTTTTTGGAATAGAATTATCCAAAAATGTATAAATGCTTTCATAAAACATCCATACATTCAAACATTGTAGACCAGTCATAATTTGAAATTAATTGATAAAGAATCAGGTATATTCTGTAGCTTTCTCGATCATCTGCCTTACTGTATGTAGATGTTCTGTCGTGCTATATGGCTTCGGAACGCAGCCTGTTCCTTTGGTTGGTAAACTTCGAGTGTTCGTTCTAATCTGTTGGTGATTATTCTGGTGAATAATTTATATATCTGTGACAGTAAGCTTATCGGTCGGTAGTTTTCGAGATCAGACGGGTCACCTTTCTTGTAGATCAGAACAACTACAGCATTCTCCCAATCTTTGGGTATATTATGTTTTTCTGTTAGGCACTTATTTAATAGTTTCACTAGTTCTTGTCTCGTCTTAGTATCGCTTTCCTTGGGCACTTCAGGCAGAATGTCTTCTCCTGCCGCTTTACCATTTTTCATCTGGGATAACCCTTTCTCCAGTTCTTCCACATTTATGTCGGGCATTTCTTCTGAGTTCGCATTTACTATTCGTATTTTATCTTCTCTTGTCCTTGTGTTTACTATTTTAGATTCGTACAGATCTCTATAGAAAGATTCCGCAACTTTTAATATCTGTTGTCTGTCTTCTACTATACCTATGTTGTTTTACGCATCTTTTATTTTTGTTATCTCTTTTTTAGGTGTGTTATGTGTTTTAAATATATTAAGTCCTTTGTTCTGTTCTAATAGGGATTGCCCTAATTCAATTTTTACCCTCGGTTATCAGTTTTCTCCTTTTCTCTAGTAGCTGTTTCGTTTCTATCGATAGTTTGTCCGGCGTTTTCTCTAGGGGGCCTATATTATCTGTTCTGCTGTTTCTTTTATAACTTTTGTTATTCTCTTATTGTTATCATCTAATGATTCTTCTGTTTTTCTGGATTGTTGGAAAAGTTTTCTTTCAGCCTTTGTTTGTATGTTTTCCTTCTTTCTGCTATCTTTTCTCTACTTCCTCTCTTGGTCGTTTGTTTCATCTTTGTTTTTCTTTCCATTTCTAAGCAACATCCGGTAGGTAATAGATAAAATTTCGTTTATTACTGGCTCATAGGTAACTTTTATAGAGGCTATCAAGAGACGGAATAATAAACCATATTGTGATTTTTGAAGTAGGTATCTTGATCGCCTTTGAAAAAAGTTATGAGAGTCGTTAATGAAGAAAATTTCAACTTTTATCAGCTCTTGATTTAATCCAGATTCGGTAATGGTTGAAATTTCCTTTACTTTACGTTTACTGGCTCAAAACTTTCCTAGAGGCCATCAAGAGACGGTAGAATAGTCACAATTTGTACTATCAACATGTCTTGATTTGTTATCAATCAAAAAAAAAAAACCTTTTCTGTTCCCTCTACTTCAAAAGTGCTGATTACTTCTTAATTTTTCTTCAAATTTTGGCATTGAATCCTCTCTATGGTTATTGAAAACGATTAGCTTTTAAGTTCTAAAGCCATTACTGTGTTCCAAAACTTTAAAGTGTTTGTTTGGTCAAGACTTTATGACAATCATATAAATTACTACCTTTGAAATGGGATTTTATTTCGGTCACTAGATGTTTTAGAACCATAGTTTGGTACTCGATGTTTGAGACGAAAAACTAAAAAGTTATTTTGTAGGTTTGGATTTGCCACTGATAATCAGAGACTATAATTTAATCAAATGGGTGGGCGCCAATGCTTATAGAACATCCCATTATCCTTACGCCGAAGAAATCATGGATTTGGCCGACCAAATGGGGATCATGATTATTGACGAGTGTCCTGGAGTCAATATAGAGTAAGAAATCGATTTTTCTTGAACAATTATTATCTGCTATTTTTTTAGAATTTTTTCTGAAACGTTGTTAAAGAAGCACAAAGTGTCTCTAACCGAAATGATTAAACGAGACAAAAACAGGCCGGCTGTTATTATGTGGTCTGCCGCCAACGAGCCTAGGACTCAATATCCTGCTGCCAAAGAGTATTTTAGGTAAAAATCTATAATTTTTTCAGGTAACTGCCTTCAAACTACATTGATGGGTTTTAGGCAAGTTATAGAACACATAAAGTCTTTAGATACAACTAGGCCAACTACAATAGTGGAATCACAAGGAGTCAATATAGTACAGTCGGTAAGATTGATTATAGGTAAAAATAAATAGTCCCTCCTTATACAAATTCTAGTCTGAATATGTAGACATAGTAAGTTTCAACCGCTACAATGCTTGGTACTCCAACGAAGGTAATTTGGATGTGGTAATTTCCAGAGTTGTAAACGAAGCTACTGCCTGGCACAATAAATTCAATAAGACTGTTATTATGCAGGAATATGGTGCTGATACTTTAGAAGGCCTACATTTTGTAAGTACTTGAAGTAAGTGGCCAATTGTAGTCAAAAATCTTTTTGTAGAGTCCCTCTTTTATTTGGTCTGAAGAGTACCAAGTTGAATTGATGTCAAAACATTTTGAGGCTTTTGATTATTTAAGGAATCAAGGTTTCTTCATTGGAGAATTCATATGGAATTTTGCTGATTTTAAGACAAGGCAAGGTAACTTTTTCAAGTAACTAATTTTTTTTTGTTTTTAATATTTTTCTCACAGATTACACAAGGGTTGGTGGTAACAAAAAGGGCATCTTCACCAGAAGTAGACAGCCAAAATCCAGCGCGCATTTTCTCAGAAGAAGATACTGGAACCTTGCCAAAGAATTCTACAATGTTTCCTTGCCAGATGATCTCAACTTGTACGTTATACAAGAAGAGAAAAGAACAATTAATACTGAACTGTAAATTTTGTGTGATATTGCTAAAAATCCAAGTACAAGGCATACTGCCCTAGAAAATTAAAGGTTTTTATTTGAAGATGTTATTTTTTGTAAATATTATTTTTATAAACGAGGATGTCACACTGTATAAATACTAAATAAAATGCATTTTGTGAATTGCTATTTAATCTTTATTATAAATATTCATCTATTTCTTTTTCTTTTTTTGCCTGTCAAAAGCGTTGAGTTCGCTCTGTTGGTTTGCAGCTTCGGCAACAATTTTGTTAACCCGATCTCGTCTTTCCTTGTCACTAAAGAAAAAAGAGTAATGTAAAGAAACAAGAAGAAAATCTAGTGAATGAGAATAAATACCTTCTGATCTTTTGATTGATTTTAATTCTACCCAAAAATGCTTTATCTTTTCTGATTTCCCTAACTGCTCCTTTGGTCTCTTTTTTGAGCTTATGTAGAAGTTTATCTCTTTCAGTTTTTTCTCTGGATTGGATTTTACGACGTTTTCCATCATAACTGAAAACAAATATAGAATTAGAAACTAACTACCTAAATGTTTCATAAAATCTACTTACACTTCAACAATTTTTGGTTCATACAATCTCAAACTTTTGGGCTTTTTTGCTTCCCACCTCAAATATGAAATTTCAGACAAGGTATCCGAAAAAAGTTTTCTGTAGTCTTCTTGAACAACTTTAGGGTAATTTTTCATTGGGACTAGCTTCAAATACTTATCTGCTTCCGTAAATAATTCAGATTTACTTGGCAGTTCTTTGCAGTTTTCCTTAAAATCACTCAATAGTCTCAATGCCAATAGCATTATGTCTACTTTCAATTCGTCAGTAAATTCTTCTTCAAACAAATTGGAAATATCGAATTTTGTCTCAATCTTTTTCTTTGAATAATCACTGGTTAAAACTAAATCCTTAGAAAGTGATTTAAATGTTAATGGGACTTTTATAGGCTTAACATCATTTTTCGGAATTGCCATACAAAAAATACCAGCTAGAAAATTAATTGTAGCTGGAAGGAATCTTTTGGACAGGGCAGTGAACTAGAAATATAATTTTCAAATCATAAATACATATAATTATTTCAAACATACCTCTGCAACTAATGTACAAAGAAACAAGCCGCAACACAAGTCTTTAACAGACTTAACACTACAATGTTTCAGCATTTCTTCCATGAAAACAAAACAAGGAGTCACTACTTGATGCCTGAAATCTGAAGTGGAAAAAAATAAGCTGACCATTTTCAAGAAGATTAATATTTCTATTCCAGGATATTGCTTCTTTTTCTTACGATACTCTTGATGTAATTCCTTAATGACTTCCACAAAAGAATTATGAGCGTTTTCCTTGTTTAGTTGAGCCAACTCGAATATATGTGGAATAATTGTTGATAAAAGCTTACAATTCTTTTTGAATGTTTTTGAGTCTTCACTATTAGCAAATAAATCGTTTATGTATCTCAACATGTAGTCAAATAATAGACCTAATCCAGCTTTGTTTCCTTGAGACAGAGTTGGATGATTGCATTTAATCATCCTTTCTAAAATGACTTTTTGACAAATTATTGACTGATTTTGCAGGGTTTCCATAAGACTGTCATAATCTTCGGGTAATGAGAAAACGAATGGCAACTCAAGTTTTTCTAGTTCATTTTTATCTTCAATATTCTCTTCATTTTTGGGTTGCTTGGGCTTATTACATTCAACAATATCTTCTAATTTTCTTTTTTGAGAGCTCTTATTTACCTCAGTTGATGTTTCATCAGTTTTGTAATCATCTTCAGCTGAATCAACTTCTTTTGAAGTTATTTTTATGCCAATATCCTGTAAGAAATATATATTGCAGAAACTCTGAATTTCAAACATTTAGGAGTTAAATTTAAGCCAAAGCAAGCAAGTTGCAATCCAATAACTGGAAAAGCTTCAATATCTCATACGAAAACGACTCAACTAGAGTTGAAAGTTCAATTTGAGATACATGAAAATCCTATTCCTGGCTCTTCTAGAACTGAAATTAAACTAAAGAAATAAACGTCAATTCCTGACCACTCTAGAAGTAAAGTTGAGCTGTATTCAACAAAATTCAACCGGAAAAGCTTCAAAAATTCAACTTCCAGTCCTAGGAGAGTAAAAATAAGCTATAAAAGTATAAAATTCTGATTTTTGAGCCTCTCTTGATCATTCTAGAGCCAAAGTAACTTAAAAAGAGCTGATTTTTGAGTCTTATAGAGATGCAATCCAATTAATTTTTGATTTTACCTTGTTTGAGTTTGTTGATTTTTCGGTTTCCACATCATCTTCTTCACTGCTTGTATCATCTTCCTTTAGGTCGAGCAAAGGATCTTCTTCTTCACTGTCATTTTGTGAACTATCATCATCTGTGTTAGTATCCTAGAATGAATAATGGGCCTTAAAATTTCATTGTGTGTATTGGATAAAAGAGGCAAAAGGCTCTCAAGGTTTCTGATATTAATAAGGAAACTGTACAACTTCCCTTTGAATTAAAAATGCTTCGACTCACAGGGTGTTTTAAGACATTTCAGAGGGATTCCTGTTTGAAAAATGTATTATGGCAAACTACCTACGAATTATTTGTCAAAAATGTGGGAAATTTAAAAGAATTTGAAAAAACTCATCGGAATTTATGAGAATTTGGGGAATTTATAGGGAATTTGAAGAAATTTATGGGGAATTTGGAGGAATTTGTGAGGAATTTATGAGGAATTTAAAGAAAATTGTAGGGTCATGACGTCACTGAGGTTCATATTCTTATTAAGAAACACTAATAAATGGAAATTAAAAATTAAATCAAGTTTGTTGTGTGTTAGACGTTAGACATTCATTTTCATTAAAGAAATTCTCCCAAAATTTCACTTCATGATTTACAGGTCCAAATTTGAAAAACTCAAAAAAGTAATAAGTACAGTTGTAGGGTGATCTCCAAGATTCTTCATGTTGTTATTTTCCACTGTGAAACATTTGAAATTATGGGAAAATTAGCTTCTCACCTTCCTCTTTAGGTACATGTAAAAAGTATCAAAATTTTCCCTTCAGTAGTTTTCCAGGAAAACTTTGAAATATGTGAGACTGTATTTTCAATTAATTCAGTTATTGTAGGTTGATTTCCAAGATTTTTCAAGTTGTTATTTATGTATGTTATTATTATTATTTTAAACTAGAAAAATTCGAAATTTTGGGAAAATGAGCTTCTCACCTTCCTTTTTATATGTAAAAGTTTCAAAATTTTCTCTTTACTAGTTTTCGAAGAAAACTTTGATATGTGTGAGACTGTATTTTCAATTAATTCAGCTTTTGTCAGTTAATTTCCAAGATTCTTCATGTTATTATTTTCCATTAGAAAAATTTGAAATTTTGGGAAAATGAGCTACTCACCCTCCATTTTACTTGCAATTTTTTTAAAAATTTCCCCTCAATTAGTTTTCCAGGAAAACTTTGAATTGAGAGAGACTGTATTTTCAATTAGTTCAGTTTTTGTAGGTTGATTACCAAGATTCTTCGTGTTGCTATTTTCCATTGGAAAAAATTGAAATTTTGGGAAAATGAGCCTCTAATATTCCTCTTAACATGCAAAAAATTTCAAATTTCTCCCTTCACTAGTTTTCCAGGAAATTTTTAAAATGTGTGAGACTGTATTTTCAATTAATTCAGTTTTTGTAAATTGATTTCCAAGATTTTTTATGTTGTTACTTTCCACTGGAAAAATTTGAAATTTTGGGAAAATGAACCTCTAACCTTCCCCTTTACATACAACAAGTTTCAAATTTTTCCTTTAACTAGTTTTCCAGGAAAAATTTGGTAAAAGGGTGAGAATGTATTTTCAACTAATTAACTTTTTGTAGGTTGAACTCCAAGATTCTTCATGTTGCTGTTTTCCACTAAAAAAAATTGAAATTTTGAGAAAATAAGCTTCTCCCCTTCCTCTTTACATGCAAAAAGTTTCAAAATTTTTCCTTCATGAGTTTTCCAGGAAAACTTTGAATTGTGTGAGACAGTATTTTTAAATAATTCAGTTATCGTAGGTTGATTTTCAAGATTCTTTATGTTGTAATTTTTCACTGGAAGAATTTGAAATTTTGAGAATATGAGTCTCTAACCTTCTTTTTCACATGCAAAAAGTTTCAAATTTTTCCCTTCAGTAGTTTTCCAGGAAAAATTTGAAATATGTGAGACTGTATTTTCAACTAATTCAGTTTTTGTAGGTTGATTTCCAAGATTTTTCATGTTGCTGTTTTCCACTGGAAAAATTTGAAATTTTAGGAAAATGAGCTTCTCACTTTCCTCTTTACATGCAAAAAGTTTCAAAATTTTCCCTTCTCTAGTTTTCCAGAAAAACTTGGAAATATGTGAGACTGTATTTTCAACTAATTCAGTTTTTGTAGGTTGATTTCCAAGATTTTTCATGTTGCTGTTTTCCACTGGAAAAATTTGAAATTTTGGGAAAATGAGCTTCTTACTTTCCTCTTTACATGCAAAAAGTTTAAAAATTTTCACTTCTCTAGTTTTCCAGAAAAACTTGGAAATATGTGAGACTGTATTTTCAACTAATTCAGTTTTTGTAGGTTGATTTCCAAGATTTTTCATGTTGCTGTTTTCCACTGGAAAAATTTGAAATTTTGGGAAAATGAGCTTCTCACTTTCCTCTTTACATGCAAAAAGTTTCAAAATTTTCCCTTCTCTAGTTTTCCAGAAAAACTTGGAAATATGTGAGACTGTATTTTCAACTAATTCAGTTTTTGTAGGTTGATTTCCAAGATTTTTCATGTTGCTGTTTTCCACTGGAAAAATTTGAAATTTTGGGAAAATGAGCTTCTCACTTTCCTCTTTACATGCAAAAAGTTTCAAAATTTTCCCTTCTCTAGTTTTCCAGAAAAACTTGGAAATATGTGAGACTGTATTTTCAACTAATTCAGTTTTTGTAGGTTGATTTCCAAGATTTTTCATGTTGCTGTTTTCCACTGGAAAAATTTGAAATTTTGGGAAAATGAGCTTCTCACTTTCCTCTTTACATGCAAAAAGTTTCAAAATTTTCCCTTCTCTAGTTTTCCAGAAAAACTTGGAAATATGTGAGACTGTATTTTCAACTAATTCAGTTTTTGTAGGTTGATTTCCAAGATTTTTCATGTTGCTGTTTTCCACTGGAAAAATTTGAAATTTTGGGAAAATGAGCTTCTCACTTTCCTCTTTACATGCAAAAAGTTTCAAAATTTTCCCTTCTCTAGTTTTCCAGAAAAACTTGGAAATATGTGAGACTGTATTTTCAACTAATTCAGTTTTTGTAGGTTGATTTCCAAGATTTTTCATGTTGCTGTTTTCCACTGGAAAAATTTGAAATTTTGGGAAAATGAGCTTCTCACTTTCCTCTTTACATGCAAAAAGTTTCAAAATTTTCCCTTCTCTAGTTTTCCAGAAAAACTTGGAAATATGTGAGACTGTATTTTCAACTAATTCAGTTTTTGTAGGTTGATTTCCAAGATTTTTCATGTTGCTGTTTTCCACTGGAAAAATTTGAAATTTTGGGAAAATGAGCTTCTCACTTTCCTCTTTACATGCAAAAAGTTTCAAAATTTTCCCTTCTCTAGTTTTCCAGAAAAACTTGGAAATATGTGAGACTGTATTTTCAACTAATTCAGTTTTTGTAGGTTGATTTCCAAGATTTTTCATGTTGCTGTTTTCCACTGGAAAAATTTGAAATTTTGGGAAAATGAGCTTCTCACTTTCCTCTTTACATGCAAAAAGTTTCAAAATTTTCCCTTCTCTAGTTTTCCAGAAAAACTTGGAAATATGTGAAACTGTATTTTCAACTAATTCAGTTTTTCTAGGTTAATTTCCAAGATTTTTCATATTGCTGTTTTCCACTGGAAACATTTGAAATTTTGGGAAAATGAGCTTTTCACCTTCCTCTTTACATGCAAAAAGTTTCAAAATCTCGGTATAAAGTTTCAAAGTTTTCCTTCCCTTCACTAGTTTTCCAGGAAAACTTTGAAATGTGTGAGACCGTATTTTCAACTAATTCAGTTTTTATAGGTTGATTTCTAATATTTCTCATGTCGTTATTTTCCACTGGAAAAATTTGAAATTTTGGGAAAATGAGCTTTTTTACCTTTTTCTATGCATGCAAAAAGTTTCAAAATTTTTCCTTTACTAGTTTTCCAGGAAAACTTTGAAATATGTAAGACTGTATAAGTATTTTTAATTAATTCAGTTATTGTAGGTTGATTTTCAAGATTCTTCTTTATGTGTTATTTTTCACTGGAAAAATTTGAAATTTTTGGAAAATGAGTCTCTAACCTTCCTCTTCACATGCAAAAAGTTTCAAATTTTTTCCTTCACTAGTAAGTATTCCAGGAAAACTTTGAAATGTGTGAGACTGAATTTTCAATTAGTTCAGTTTTTGTAGGTTGATTTCCAAGATTCTCGATGTTGCTATTTTCCACTGAAAAAATTTGAAATTTCGGGAAAATGATCTTCTCAGATTTCCCTTTACATGCAAAAAGTTTCAAAATTTTTCCTTTTTTAGAGGAGTATTTGGAGAAGTTTGTGGTGAGGTATTTGGAGGAATTTGTGACGGGCTATTCGAAGGAATTTGGAGGAATTTGCAGAAATTTTGAGGAATTATCCGTGTTAAATTCCCCTTTGAGGAATTGTTTACACCAATTCTGGAACGGTGGTTTACCCCTTGCCTCAAACATTTACCTTAAACAAGAAATTCACCCTCTGAAGGGTTAGTCACAACAGATATTCAAGTGTACAAAACATTATATTTATGCAAAAGATATCTACAAATTTCCCCGGATTACCTGGGATCGAGCCTGGGATCCCCCTAAGATTTCTTCAGATTTTCTCAAGACCCTAAATTTCGTAAGATTTCTTTCTTCATTTCTTTAGATCTCCCTAATTTTTCAAGAATTTCATAGAACACAACTCCTGAGGTCTTCTTCTCAACACAACAATGTGCATTTTCTCTTCATCTATTACTTACTTTCCTCTTTCCTGGCAATATCAAAGCTACAATACAAGGCATAATATTTTTATTCCAGTAGAAAACTTGGTAATAACCTCTAGAATATTCTCAACCGATAGAAAATTAAATTTTGAATGTACGCACTGTCTCAGTCAGTAACATTTCCTTCACTTTTCCTAAAGATCTCCTCAGATTTTCCTGAATCTTCCCAGATTTTCCAGAATCTCCCCCAGGGTTTGCATACACAAAAACCCATTCATACAGAAATAATTTTAAACTGCTTAAATTTGGAAACATTTTCCTTAAAAAACCCCATTCCTATATGCCATAGTGATGAATATCAATCGAAAATCTAGGATTATTCTGAGCAATAAATTATAAAAAGAATTTCATAAGGTATCAATAATAAGCTTCAACAGTTATGACCGATGAAGCTCCCACTCAAATCTTTCTCTAAATCTGGGGCTGAAAAAAATATGAGCAAATCATAGGTAGAATCAAATGGTTGAAATACTCAAACACTCTGTTTGTCATCTAAGCTGTATTTCTTAAAAACTATAAAAGTTATAAATTTGAAATTTTCTTGAATCTTTTATAAGGTATTAGAGCAGGATATACCAAAAATTCAAAGCAATTGAACAAAAGCCACAAAAGTTACAAAATGATTTATACAAATACATAGTTTTTGAAGGAATGAAATATGACAATCTTACATACCTAAACTGGGTAAGTAATTTCTCAAAATCTATAAAAGCCACAAATATGAAATTTTCAGGTATCCTTGATAAGGCATTAGAGCAAGATATACCAAAAATTAAAAGCAATTGAACAAATATAACAATCTGTCTGTGACAATCTTCCATAAAATAAATAACTAGCAAATAATAAAACAATCTACTTTTTGGTGATTTCTCATTACCTTCATTGACTCTCGAGAGAAAAACCTTCGCAAAAACTCTACAAAAAAAACACAAAAGCTGTTACAAAACCCCAATAAAAATTTTCAAAAATCAGAGTTTTTGCCAACCCTGCTCCCTAGATTTTCCCCCCCAAAGAGTTTTGGATATCTCCTGTAGAGTGTACATCGGATATCACGTTGTGAATAACTCATCGTGACCCACTAAGTAACTCTACCCTGAAAATTTCATATCAATAATCCGGTCCTGGACCTGGACTGAGATAAAACTTGGCTCCTTGGAGAGAACAATTTTTTTTTCTGTTAAAATTTCGTTTATTCTATCGCGAATGGTAAATTATCATTTAATCGACTCAAAACTCGTTGTTAAAGTAACACTTTATTTGAAGTAGTGGAATGGAACAATTTTTACCCACTCATTTGTCAATTTTATCCACCCATACGTCAATTTTACCCACTTGTTCAAATCTTTTATAATAATTATAGTGTTTTTGACAGAAATCTGATATGTTGCAGGATTGACAATACCAGAAATGTGTCAGTTTGTTAGGTACTTTGTCAATTTGTCATAATCTTTGTAAAATTTTAGCACATTTTAATTTATGATTTAAGTAATTGTGATAAATGAAAAGTGGCTCAAGAATAAAATAGAATATTACACACGACGGTAAAAAAGCTTAACCTATTTGTGGAATTAATCCACTCGCTCCTTCGTCGCTCGTGAATCAACATTTTCCACTCACAGGTAAAGCTTCTTTTTACCGTCTTGTATAATAATAGTTATTTATTATACAAGACGGTAAAAAGAAGCTTTACCTGTGAGTGGAAAATGTTGATTCACGAGCGACGAAGGAGCGAGTGGATTAATTCCACGAACAGGTAAAGCTTTTTTACCGTCGTGTATAATATTCTATTTTATTCTTGAGCCACTTTTTATTTATCACAATTTCTAAAATTATAAATTAAAATGTGCTAAAATTTTACATTGATTATGACAAATTGACAAAGTACCTAACAAACTGACACATTTCTGGTGTTGTCAATCATGCAACATATCAGATTTCTGTCAAAAACACTATAATTATTATAAAAGATTTGAACAAGTGGGTAAAATTGACGTATGAGTGGGTGAAATTGACGTATGGGTGGGTAAAATTGACAAATGAGTGGGTAAAAATTGTTCCATTCCACTACTTCAAATAAAGTGTTACTTTAACAACGAGTTTTGAGTCGATTAAATGATGGTTTACCATTCACGATAGAATAAATAACTATTTTCCTTCAACTTTGAGCCTTGGTTTACCCCTTGTACCTTGGTATATACCTACATAACACTAACGGCTAGTATTTAGATTTTATTTCCATAACAATGAGCTTATACAAAAGGGATGTAACATCTGGATCAGGTGAGGATATTGATAGCCTTTTTTATGAAATTGGTGAATGCTCAAAACGAGCTAGTAACTTAATGACATAATAATGTTTCCTATTCTAACTTGTCTGTTCATCAGGAGTGAATTGGTAGTGATGTAAAACATGTTGCCAATGTTTTTTCACTAAGTGAAGTAAAACAAAATGTCCTGAAAATGGTTTGTGTAGGTAAAACGACCGAATAGAAAGTAGGCAAGACCATTGAAAGTTGTTTTTACAAGTCCAGATGTAGTATTCAAAAGTTTTAAAAATGGGTATAAGCTTTAGTCATCAAACATTAGGATTTTTAAAGATTTGACAAAATCACAAAATGAATTAAACAGCTCTTTGTGATTTTAAACAATCCAGGCAACAACAATGTATAAAAACATTTCTATTAATAGTGAAAATCCATACTTACATTGTTTTCATCTTCAATATCACTATTACCACCTATTGTTTTCCCATTGAGCTCTGCCCTAACTTCAACATTAGATTTACCATCGTCACCATAAGTCAACATATTTTCTTCTGTATCAGATTCATATACGAAATTGTCGTCAAGATCATCTGCACTTCTATGCGTGATTTTTTGTGGGTTATTTTCAGCAAAACCCCTCATTCTTTCTAAACGTTCTTGTTCTAATTTTTCCAGTTTTTCTTTTTCTTCCTTTGCAATTTCGGGTTCAGATTTCAATCTATCAGAAACTGTGCCTCTCGCTTCAAATTTCAACTCCCTCATTACTTTATCGTAGTCATCTAAATTAGGTTTTTCTTCATTGGTTTCTTTTTTATTAGTTTTGCTTACTAGTTGAACTAAATCTTTCCACTCAGTGTCTAGTTTGTCTGTTAATTCTACAGTTGCTTCTTTGATTTTTTGTTTTTCAGCTTTTCTTTTTTTGGATTCCTCAATTAACTGATCCATAAGCTGTTTGTGGGTTTTAACTTCCTTGCCTGAAGAGCCTCCTCCGAAATGAGCATCTTTGACAAAAGTAGACAATAAATTTCCAGATTTATGTTCTTCGTCACTGTCTTCATTGTCGGAGCGTGGGTCATCAAACTTTTCTATTTCATTCAATGTCTGGCCTCTATGAGTTAGAACTTCGTCTTCGGCTAGGTTAAATATCATTTTTTTGCTGTGTGCTTTAGCTCGGACTGCTGCAAATCTGGCCATAATTTTATCTTCGTAGGGAACATTGTCTCGTTCCGCAATACGCTTGTCCATAAATTTGTTGGACTTATGTTGAAGCTTGTATTCGTTTAATAAAGTGTGCTTTCTTTTTTTGATGGCCTTAGCTCTAGAAATACCTGGCAAACCCATTTCGTTCTTTACTTTTTTGCCTAAAACTCGCATTTTTTCCTTGTTTATGTGGACCTCGAATGGATTTAGCTGTTTCTTTGCATTTTGATTTTGTCGCTTCTTCTGTATTGCGTCTACAGATACTCGCTTTTTGTTTTTCACTTTTCCCATATTGCAATACGACTTGAAATGCTAGAAAGTACCAAAAAATAATAATTATTTCTTAAATAAATTCAAAATATTTTCCCCGGAGCTCGTGTGATTTTGTGAGGTTATGTTATGATTAGATTAGAATGGGGCTTATCGATATCGATACAATATTATCGATCTTTACATCGATTGTCATGACGCAGCGCAGAGAATGTAGAAAAATTGAGAAAAAAATGGTAGATGAGAAGACATTCATGCTTTTTCTATTCCAGGCTCTGGAGTTTTCTTCATTTCGACAAATTCAAGAGTCTGGAATAGACAAAAATTGAGCTAGAAAAGTTGAGAAAATAAAGACAAAAAAATTGAGTGGAATTGGGACGGAGAAACTGAGAATTGAATAGAGAAGAAATGTTGAGAAATTCAGAAAAAAATGGTAGAAAAGAGGACATTCATGTTTTTTCTATTTCAGGATCTTGAATTTTCTTTATTTAGACAAATTCAAGATCCGGGAATAGACTTAAATTGAGCTGGGAAAATTGAGAAATAGAGAGGAAAAATTCGAGAGGCATTGACACGGAAAAACTGCGAATTAAATAGAGAAGAGAAGAAAAAATGGTAGATTAGAGGACATTCATGTTTTTTCGATTCCAGGCTCTCGAATTTTCTACATTTCAACAAATTCAAGAGCCGGGAATAGACTAAAATTGAGCTAGGAAAATTGAGAAATGAAAAGAAAAAAATTGAGTAGAATTGAGAAAAATAGTGACGGAAAACTGAGAATTAAAATAGAGAAGGATAAGATAACATTCATATGTTTTTTTTTATTCCAGGTTCTTGAATTTTCTTTATTTTGACAAATTCAAAGAGAATAGACAAAAATTGAGCTGGGAAAATTGAGAAATACAAAGAAACAAATTAAGAGGAATTGAGAAAAAATTGGTAGACGCAAATAAAAAATAAACATATAGTATATATTACCTATTTTGAACTTCGTTGACCAGTCAGAAACAACTACTCCGAGGGCAAATACCCCTACCGGCGTTGAACTACACTGATTGGTCTGAGCTTTCGTTGGCAATGGAAATTGTTAGAAATATTTTTTTTTTCAGGTAATGACCAACGTGAATACAGGAACACTACGGCCCTGTTTGGGAATCGGCCCACTGAGCAGTGGACTCAGGCTTCCCGTGCCAATCCTTGACGCGTTTCGTCCTTGTTAGGACTCATCAGAAGGACATAGGCTGAAGCTCCCTGTCCAAGCAAAATTGAACTTCGTTGACCAGTCAGAAACAACTACTCCGAGGGCAAATACCCCTACCGGCGTTGAACTACACTGATTGGTCTGAGCTTTCGTTGGCAATGGAAATTGTTAGAAATATTTTTTTTTTTTTTTTTCAGGTAATGACCAACGTGAATACAGGAACACTACGGCCCTGTTTGGGAATCGGCCCACTGAGCAGGGAGCTTCAGCCTATGTCCTTCTGATGAGTCCTAACAAGGACGAAACGCGTCAAGGATTGGCACGGGAAGCCTGAGTCCACTGCTCAGTGGGCCGATTCCCAAACAGGGCCGTAGTGTTCCTGTATTCACGTTGGTCATTACCTGAAAAAAAAAAATATTTCTAACAATTTCCATTGCCAACGAAAGCTCAGACCAATCAGTGTAGTTCAACGCCGGTAGGGGTATTTGCCCTCGGAGTAGTTGTTTCTGACTGGTCAACGAAGTTCAATTTTGCTTGGACAGGGAGCTTCAGCCTATGTCCTTCTGATGAGTCCTAACAAGGACGAAACGCGTCAAGGATTGGCACGGGAAGCCTGAGTCCACTGCTCAGTGGGCCGATTCCCAAACAGGGCCGTAGTGTTCCTGTATTCACGTTGGTCATTACCTGAAAAAAAAAAATATTTCTAACAATTTCCATTGCCAACGAAAGCTCAGACCAATCAGTGTAGTTCAACGCCGGTAGGGGTATTTGCCCTCGGAGTAGTTGTTTCTGACTGGTCAACGAAGTTCAATTTTGCTTGGACAGGGAGCTTCAGCCTATGTCCTTCTGATGAGTCCTAACAAGGACGAAACGCGTCAAGGATTGGCACGGGAAGCCTGAGTCCACTGCTCAGTGGGCCGATTCCCAAACAGGGCCGTAGTGTTCCTGTATTCACGTTGGTCATTACCTGAAAAAAAATATTTCTAACAATTTCCATTGCCAACGAAAGCTCAGACCAATCAGTGTAGTTCAACGCCGGTAGGGGTATTTGCCCTCGGAGTAGTTGTTTCTGACTGGTCAACGAAGTTCAATTTTGCTTGGACAGGGAGCTTCAGCCTATGTCCTTCTGATGAGTCCTAACAAGGACGAAACGCGTCAAGGATTGGCACGGGAAGCCTGAGTCCACTGCTCAGTGGGCCGATTCCCAAACAGGGCCGTAGTGTTCCTGTATTCACGTTGGTCATTACCTGAAAAAAAAAAAAATATTTCTAACAATTTCCATTGCCAACGAAAGCTCAGACCAATCAGTGTAGTTCAACGCCGGTAGGGGTATTTGCCCTCGGAGTAGTTGTTTCTGACTGGTCAACGAAGTTCAATTTTGCTTGGACAGGGAGCTTCAGCCTATGTCCTTCTGATGAGTCCTAACAAGGACGAAACGCGTCAAGGATTGGCACGGGAAGCCTGAGTCCACTGCTCAGTGGGCCGATTCCCAAACAGGGCCGTAGTGTTCCTGTATTCACGTTGGTCATTACCTGGAAAAAAAAAAAAAAAAAAAAAAAAAAAAAAAAAAAAAAAAAATATTTCTAACAATTACCTATTTTGTTTCTATTTCAAGCTTTTTAATTTTCTGTATTGAAGATGTGGGTTCTAACAGCCATTTAATTTAATTTAGGATTTAATATAATTTAAGTTAAAAAGTCCGCCATATATGGGTAGGTATTCCATGGTAAAACTTTCTGAATTAAATATTAGGTATATAAATATTAAATTGAATTAAATGTTTGTCAAAAAAAAAACACCTTTAAAGAAATTTAGAAGAAATCAAAAATTCAAGAACCAGAAATAGACAAAAATTGAAACGGAAAATGTTTTTCCTATTCCAGGCTCTTGTATTTTAACTCTTTATTTCCATAAATTAATGAGCCAAAAATAAACAAAAGTTGAAGAATAGAGAGAAATAATTGTAAGAAAAAATAGTAGATACCTAAGAGGAATTCATGTTTTTTTCTGTTTTAAGCTCTTGGAATTTCTTTATCTGAAAAAATTCAAGAGCCGGGAGTAAACAGAAAACAATTTCATATTCATATAACAAGTAGGTAATTGTACAGGCCTTTCAACATAATACATGTGTGATGCACATTCTGCTTTTTTATTACGCAAATTCAGGGAATCTTTTTTAGTAAAAGCTGGTGTCCACACTATTCAGATTCTTAGGAGGTGCTAAGCATATTCCACAAAATATTCATTATATGTGTATGGGATGTTCTTGGGAAAGAACTAGAACTACATGTTCAGAATGTGTATCATGAATCTTCTTTCCACTTCCACATTAGTAATACATTCTTAAAAATGAACAAGGAACAGTATATTCAAAATATGTGCAATGAATCTTCCAACTTTGTTCAAATATTCTTGTTACATACTTTTCACATGAGTCATACATGCTTAAAAAAGAACAAGAAATTTATATTTAAAATACGTTCTCCGAACGCCTATAATATTTTTGGGCTCTTGGCAAAAACTATTTAGGTACGTGAAATGTATACCTATGCAAAATATGTCCTATAGAGTTTCTAACCCAAACAAAACTATATATGTTTCGGTGAAAACCTTATGAACATTTATTTTTTAGGTTTAGTAATAATGCTTAATTCTGAGTTGACCAAGACCACTGAAGCCAGGACTGTCGGCTCAGGATTTTAAGCATTTCTGGGATTATTAAACGCAAAACTAAAATATCACAGGTTTGATCTTCTTACCCAGTAGCATAAATGTTGATCACGAAATGTTGAAGTATTCGCAGCTCAAGAGTCGATAATAATCAAAATTTCGTATGATCCATAAACAGTTCCCAAGTTGATATTAATCAAAATTTCTCATTCCGCAGCTTCTAATTGGCTCAAGAAAAATTATCCGATATGAATCAAGAGTCACAGATAATCAAAATTTTAACTATTACTGGGCTCTTGATTCTTTGGAAAACTTTCCTAGAGCCAATCAAGAGCGGGTAATAATTAACTTTTATCAATTCTGGAATCGCTAGAGAATTTTTTTAAGGGCATTCAGAGCTCAAGAGCCGATAATAATCAAAACTTTGAATGATCATTAACAGCTCTAAGTTGATATTAATCAAAATTTCTTCTTGCGCAACTTCTCATTAGCTCAAGCTAAAATGGCCCATTTTAAATGTTTTAATGGGCTCTAATATCGAAAACCATCAGAGATATCAAAAATCTGGGAGCATTTTCTCGAACTCTTTTTTTGAGATAATATCCATGACGAAGACAAATCACGGCTAACTTTATCCGTTTCGGAAATACTCAGGGCACTTTTCAAATTTTGTCCAATAGATTTTGAAAGACTTTATAATTTCTTTAGTTATTGGGATATTCAAAAACCAAAAATACTTTCTGTAGGCAGTTTTTCAAGTAGAATCCTGTGGCATGACCAATTTTTTTCCAGATGTCTCCGATTTTGAAATATTAATGGCCATTTCCACCAACTAATTTAGGGAAGCCCTAACGATAGGTATACCTTAAACTGACATTTCTCCATGTGAAAATGTCATTTTAGGGAATACTTATCGTTGGGGCTTCGCTAAAATGGTTGGTGGAAACGGCCATAAGTAACCAAAGTTGTAGTTTTTAAATGGGATACCCATATTATTTTTTCATTGCATGGCTCTTTTTGAGCTGATTTCAATGATAGAAGGTTTTGTAGCTTTTCCTTCGATAGTTTTTGAGAAAAAATAAATACATTCCGTTTCTCCATAAGAAACAATGTGAGTGATTTGTCTTCCCCATTGTTATTATGTACCTATATGTCTCAAAAAAAAAGCTCGAGAATGTGCTTGCTCCCAGATTTTTGATAATCGCTTCGATATAGCCCATTTAAAACATCGAAAATGGGTCACTCCTGTACATCTACTCTAAGTTGTATATTTAGTAAGTTATTGCCTCTATACCCACAAAATATCTTCAGAACCTTATTTGTTTTTGCTTTACCACAGAATATTTTTCGAACGATAGGTATTTGTGAACAAAAATTGGTTAAATGTTTAAAAAATTTTTGGAATTTTTTGACATTATTCATAACTTTTTTGTCTTAGGTAAGTATAGAAAGCTAAAATTTTCAGCGATTCTTATACTAATGGAAGACTCTATAATTTCTGAAAATTTTAACTCATTTGGACCTAGTTCCTGAGATAAGAGTGCGTTAAGTAATGTGTGAATTTTCCAATATCCCGATGACCCTGACGTCCCTTTTTTGGTAAAATGGCTTCAAATTTCAGAATAATAGCGTACCTATATGGAGTTTGGTTTGGGGAATCCCAATAATTAATGATCATTTAAACACAAAATCTCAACATAACATAAAAAGGTGCATGGCATGAATAGCAAAATAATGAATATGAAGAATTTTCACAAAAATATATTAATCAATGAGATTCTAATGGCCATTTGCACCGACCGTTTTAAGGCAGGCTTAACGATATGTGCACGTAAATTGACATTTTCTAGTGAAAAACAATACAAAGGCAAAATCAGAGAAACACCTGAGTCTATTTTGGCCACATCATGACGAATGAGCCATAAATTGTCTATCCAGATTCAACCTACGTTCACCATTTTGGCCAGTTAATCGCTAGAAATCTGTAGAAACATTTCATTTTCATTGAATCACTTTTATAATGCTACATTAATATAAGCAGATGGCTTTAGTTTCAAGCAAATTAAACAAAATATAAATGACATAATACATGTGTTTGTATTTACTGTTATTTATTTATGATTTGTGGTTTGTTTTGTTTTTATTTCATTGTACTTTGCCTTTGCACTAGAAAGTTGAAAATCTCACTGAGACCATCATGTCTAAAAGTTGTATAATTTGCTCTAAAACTGGATCCTACAAGTGCCCGATGTGCTACATTTACTAGTAAGAATTGCATATATACCTAGCCCCTTTATTTGGTTATTAATTATTTGCAGTTGCTCTTCGAAATGCTGCAAGAAACATCGAGAGACCGGCTGCGAAGTTATTTTGCAGAAGGAAGATCCACCTCAGGAACCTGAGAAACCGAAGGAGGCACTTAAGTCACCTGAAGAAATATCGGCTGGCAGATTGCAGTTGTTAAGTGAGTTGACGTTTCTTTCATAGCAGAACCATACATTGATCTCATGAGATAACATTCTGATACAGTTTCACATTTGTTGATACATGGCTCAGAATCAAAGACAATAAATAGCTCAGAACTGCTCTGCTAAGAGGGTTAAGGGCTGGTTTATTCACCTTCTCATAAACTGCTGTCAGGTATGCAATTTGACGGATAAAAATGCAATCCCTGACTAAAAGAACAGTAAATTTATCTTGCAGATAGTTACCAGCAAGTTCATCTAAAGATGAATAAACCAGGCCTAAGAGACTTACAGCTGTATGCAACATCCTCTTTTAACTTAAGAGTGCTTTTTAAAAATTTGTATGGTTTAGAATACACATTTTTAAAAGTGACCAGTTTCAAAAAGCACTTTTAAGTTAAAGGAAAATGTTGCATAGAGCTGTTGATATTTTGTCTTTATTGGTAACTTGGTAATTACATATAATATTGGTTAACGTTTTCGTTCATGAATTTCAATAGATATGTCTTGAACATGGAAATTCTGACTCAAAAAAGGGCAGAAATAAAAACAAAGCATTGCAAGTTCATTGATAACTTTGAAGAGTAGAATTTGCTTTATCCTGTCTATGTTGTCGGCAAACTCTAGCTAGGCCAATGAGAGATTACTACAATTCTGATCTGTGTTTTACTTCTCTCCAGTCTCTATAGAAAAACTGATAGTGAGAATTTCTTTCAAATAGGGCTCTTATTGATTTTGTTGAGGTATATACTGATAAAAATCAAACAATCAAAAAGAAAACGCTGATACAATTTGACTTTTCATTTATCAATCAACGGTTTTGTGGTGTTTAAAGACTTGAAATTACCAAAATTTGCTATGTTATAATATAAGGCAGAGCATCAGACTAAGACATTTTTTAAGGCTTAATAAAATTCCAGTATTAAGGATTCTGGGATTCTCATTTTTTGTCTTTTTTTTTCAAAACCAATCAAATCAAATTTATTTCCTCAGTATAATATGTAATAATATGATTCAGTGGCGTAGCCAGGATTTTGTCTTGAGGGGGGCAAATTTGCGGAAAGTGTTTCTTGCGGCCCCAGCGCGACCACTGCCGGAGGTAAAGCGCCGCAGGCGCGAAATGTTTGGGTGCCACACCCCTTTTTTAGGTTTCTTTACGCTATTTTTGGGACTGTTTATTTTAATTTTGAAGAATTATTCATAAAATTTAAGGGTCTTGGATGCCCCTAGCCCCCCCCCTGGCTACGCCAGTGATATGATTTACAGAAGGACTTAAACTATTTTGATAATACAAATTATCATACTACTAAGCTTTTAACCAGCACAATAGATTTGGAAAATCTGTGCATGCTGGTCATCAGCTCAAAATAATTTGTACACCATTGTATTTCATCTCTTTATGATTACATACAAATTTATTGCAGAAAACAGTGATGAAGTGAAAAACCTCCTGACGAACCCTCATCTGAGAGATCTTCTAGTAACCATCGACAAAGCGGAAAACGCCGAACAAATAATCCAAAAAGCGATGCTGGAGCCCATTTTTGTGGAGTTTGCCGATGCTTGCATTAAAGCGGTAGAGCCAGAACATGTCCAAGATCACACATGAATCTTGAGGATTTTTCATTTCTATATATCTTAAGTTAATGCAGATTAAGATTAATATAAATATATCCTAGGATGTGATAAGCCTTGAAAGTTTAATTATAGCATATTTGTTATGAATATATTTTGTATGCCTCCACAAGACACTGATTTATTCCATGATTTACAATTACTTTGTAATAATCGTATTTTAACATGAATTGATTTTTCTCTTTATTCTTCAGTTTTTGTTTATTCTTGGCTCTAAGGTGCATTGGTCAAAAATATTTTTGGATATACAGGGTGCTCTGTAAATGGGGTATGCCACAGAGCTTTAAATAAAACACCCCATATATTTTATAACATCAATGGATCGTCCTTAAAACCCAACATACTTTTTGTTAGGAATTACCTATACTAAAACTCAACCGTTTTTGAAATACATATTTAATAGTTTTTGAAAAAATCGCAGTTTGCATGTCAACAAAAACCTACATACATATTTCATTTATTTGAGATTCTATAAGCGAAATCTTTTGTGATATCGCACTAAGTGGACACCCTGTATATCAATAATTTTTCCTATTTTTTATACAATTCTCCTTTATTTCTCAATCTTTTGATTTCAATTTTCATCTATTCCCGGCTCTTGGATTTTCCTTTTTTTCTAAATTTCTCTAAACAGGAAAAATTCAAGAGCACAAAATCCCTATAATTTGTGTTTATTTGTCTACCAATTTTTTCTCAATTCCTCTTAAATTTTCTCAATTTTCCCAGCTCAATTTTTGTCTACTCTCGGATCTTGAATTTGTCAAAGTAAAGAAAATTTGAGAGCCTGTAATAGAAAAAAACATGAATGTCCTCTTATCTACCATTTTTTGTATTTTTCTACATTTCTTCTCTATTTAATTCCCTGTGTTTCCATCTCAATCATCAGGAATACAATAGTCGAACAATATAGCATATAGATCAGTTTAGGCCAAAACTCCAAATTGCAACATATAACATAAGAATAATGAGAACAGATGAACATTTGGAAGAGTTGGAGCAAGAACTGAATGACATTAATTGGGACATAGTGGGACTGTTCGAAACCAGACTGGAAGGAGAGCAGAAGACCAAACTCAAGTCAGGGCATACTTTGTATCAACTGAACCCAAAAACGAATTACAGCAAAGGAAGAGTAGCATTTATGGTAGGTAAATAAGAACATAGAAAATAAAGTAAGCAAATATCAGGGAATATCAGATAGGGTCATATATCTCTTGTTGAACATAAAGAAGAGATATACCATGCAGCTAATACATTGCTACGCCCCAACCAGCACATCAAGTAATGAGTCAGTAGAAGAGTTCTATGATGATATCGCCCGGACTATAAACAGAGAAAAGTCTTACTATATTGTGGTGACAGGAGACCTAACCCATATAGCACAAAATATTTTTGGGATATTTTTTTTATTATCCAACAATGGATATTTTTTGAACAAAGCTAATAAAATATTTTTAAAAGATTCAAACAACATTTGTGACCACACATTGGTTTGGAAATGTTCAAAAAATGTTTTTAAAATGTACTCAAAAAATACATTAGTTTTACAAACATATCCAAAATAATATTATTAAATGGATATTTTTTGATCATCAGAAAAACATAATAAAAGAAATATTTTTTCCCCCACATTTGCTGAACATTTTTAAAACATTCGGTCTCTAAAGTCTGGCTCGAGACTTAGGGCAAGTATTATAAAACTATTTTAACAGACCAACTAAAAGTTAACTTTTGGAATGACAAATTGTGCGATTGTGTTGGACCGTTCCAGAACCATCCTTTTTTCGAACCAAATCAAAGCTTTTCATTTGATTTAAAAACTGGTCCTTGTTTGCTTTTTCTAGGCGCCATATCTACCTGCTCTGCTACCGATTGAATTAATTCGCAGTGTTGTCACCTAGTAACCATTGTAACGGTAAAGTAAAAATGGCCATACCTGGGGTAGTATTTTCGAATATTCTCGCATGCGAAATTGGATAAGATTTCGAATGCTTCCCATTTAATTTACATTGTTGTCAATCAAATTTCGTGTACGAAATGTACTTGAATGAATTCGAAAATACGACCCTTGGAAACCCATGAAAGCTTCCAATTATAAAAACGGTTCTGGCAACACTGGTATTTTTATGCTACTTTTTGAGGGGGATTGGACGCCGGCGTGGCGTAGTTTCAGTCTGGGTCGGGTTCAGCTAGATTAGACTAGAGTGAAGTCAATATATTTTTTTTGTGAGGTTTGTGTACGAGTGTACGTTATTTGGCTCTGAGAATAATTGCGATTTCGATTGAGGTTCACGGTAAGTGGTATTTATATCAGGGTTTTCCAACGAGGACTTAAAACCAGGAGCCTATTTTTGAATCTGCCTGTATTTTTGTGAGAATCCAAGATAGCCATCATCCCTGGCGTGTCTTATATTTTTGGTTCAAAGATTTTTTGATGCAATAATTGAATTCTGCAGGAAAAAATACATGAGATAGGTATTATGGATTTTCTCAATAATACAGAGAGAGTAGAAAGAAAGAAGAAAAAAATAAGCCTTTGATTAATCCTCGTTGGAACACCCTGTATCTATAAAAATAATATTGATTATTTATAGTCATACAAATTATTTTTTATTGTAGGAAGAAGAAAGGAGCTGTGAAAGAGCAGACGCAGCTCGAAGGACAATAAGCCATAATCAGACAGGAACTGCTTAATTGAGAGGCAAATAACTTGAATCAGATGCATATGCACAAATAAAAATAACTCTGAGTTTAATTCTGAGTTTTAATTACCCAATAGGTACTTACCTACCCATAAAAATTACCATCGTAAATGTTGGAATGATGTTTTTAAAATATTTTAATAATGTTTTTTAAATATCGTTTTAATGTTCTCAAAACCAATATAGTTTCTTCAATGTGTGGAAAATATTTTATTTATATATTTTTTTGAAAATGTTCCACAAAATATCCAAAAGACGTTTTAAAAATATATTTGGATATTTTAAAAATGTTTTTAAAACATTCTCAAAAATATCATACAGATACAAACATTTTTAATACATCGTTTCTGAATCCGCATAATTTTTTTTTCGATGATGATGTTCAAAAAACATTTTCATACTTTCTAAAAATGTTTTTCATACATTTAAAAAATATCGTATGGATATTCAAAAAATATCGATTCGTTACCGCAGAATGTTCAAAAAATGTCCTAAAAATATGTTTTATGGATATTTGGATGTTTTAAAAATATATTTGATCCGAAAAAAAATATTTTTTGAATCTTCAAAAAATATTATTTGGCTATATCAAGTAAATAACAAACAGCAAGTTAACCAGAATCAACAAAAACAGGAAATTAAACAGCATAATGGACAAAAACAACAAGAACAGATAAATAATAAGCATACTGTTCTGATTATTGGTGATAGCTCCATAGCTGACTTCAATAAAATTCTTGATAGATACAAAGTTCTAAACAAATTTAGGATTATCTCGATTGTGAAACATAATGCGCGATTGGAAGACATTACCAAAGATATCTGCAATCTGACCAAGGATTTTAACAAGTATGATGTAGTGATACTCAGTGGAGGTATGAGGAATGCAGTCACGGATGGAAAGGTTGGTGACGTAGTATTCAATCGTTTGTATGACGTATGCGTAAGAACGAATCTCATAGTTTTATCGGTGCCTCTCTGGAGAAATCGCATAATATTGAACCAATTCATCGACAAAATAAACATAAGATTATTTCAATTTGTAAGAGACCAAGGAAATACGAATAGATTTATTAATTTAAACTCTTTCTTAAGCTCATCCTTCTTTGGCCATTCAAGTAATGCTCCCAAATTCTTTGCAAAAATAAAAATATGTGAAAAGATTTCTCGGGCAATAATCCTAATCAACAATTTTTTATTATAAAGAATCTCGGCGAAAATATTATTAAACGAAGTAGTATAAAAGTTAAAGCCAATTTTTCTATCTTTTTGCTCAACACTCGATCAGCGAGAGAAAAGGCAGATGAACTATCTGTTCTGCTGAGTGATCTGAATATGCCATCTTTCGTTCTTCTCACTGAACATTGGCTAAAGGAGGATGAACTGTACTATCTACCCGAGTACAGTATTATCTAAAAGTTCTGTAGAGCCGAAGGCTATGGAGGCACCATTATATTAGCACATGATAGTTTACTAGAAAGGTACAATGTAGAAAATATCGATAAACATGGAATCATTCTTCAAGAAAATAAATTTGAATTTAGTATAGTTTATGTTAAGGAACTTGATGTTTGGATTGTTTGTGTGTATAGGCCTCCATCAGGTAATCCCCTAGAATTTTTAAGGTCATTGGAAACTCTCCTTTCGAAATTTCCGATAACTGCAAAAATTATATTAGCAGGCGATCTAAATATTGACTTTGATAGTAAGGACTCCAGAGATACGAAATCTTTAATAAACTTATTAACATGTTTTAATCTTCACACTTTTGTGAATGAACCCACACGTATTACTAACCACTCAGAGACAACAATCGATTATATCTGCAGTAACATCGACGAGGGTGATATTATTTGTAGAGTAACTCCATCAGGTCTTTCTGATCATGAGGCTCTATTTTCAGAAGTGGTGCTACACCATGACGAGCAAAAAAAGGTGACAAGGGAGTCTCGAATCTTTAGTACAGCAAATTATAGGACTTTTCGAAACGAGGCGGATACAATTACCTAACTGGGGCAACATTAAAGATTCGGCAAATCCAATTACTACATTTCAAAAAACAGTTCGAAATATTTTTAGCCGAAGCTTTCCAAAGCGAAAAATTAAAAAAAAGAAAAGAAAGTATCAGGTAAAAATCTTCGCTCTTTGTACACAATAAAAAAATGTATAAACTCTGACTGGTTTGACTCATATTTTACTGCATATCGCAAAATTTATAGAAGTCTAATACGACTAGCAAAAAAATATTATTACAATGAAAGGGTAGAAGCAGCGGGTAATTCTAGCAGGCAGTATTGGAAAATAATAGGCGAAATGAGGGGAAAAACACAACGGAATTGCAACAATCTGACAATAAATCCGACAGATCTTAATCAGTTTTACTGCACTATAGCGAGCAAGCTGACAGATGGCCTTGAGCGAAAGAAGGATCCACTAAGTTACTTATCAGAGTACCCTTCTACTGAGACATTCAGGCTTAACCCG